CGGAGTACCAGGGCTCGGTTCTCTTGGCGCAGGAGACCAGAGTCGTGGAGGCCCGTTTAGGAGAATTTCAGAATAGGGCGAGGGATGCAGGCTGGCACGGGCTGTGGTCAGCAGCGTTAGAGACGGGCGAGTCGGCCATGTCCAACTCGAGTGGGGTGGTGGTCTTTGCTCGCACCAACATCACCATCACCGCCCCCCCTGACGGCAGCCATGTGATATATCCTGGAAGAGCGGTATGCGCCCACGTGCAATGTGGGGTCCCAGGTGGCATTGTCTTTGCTAGCGTTTACTTTGTGACGGCGATTGGCATGACTGGAGAAAATCTTGCTATACTTTGGGCAGTTGTGCAGAGGATTGCTCAGTGGCAGGCTCTGGGACTGGACTGGGTGATAGGCGGAGATTGGAATTGCGACTTCTATGCCGTCAATGTCAAAGGTTGGGTCGAGAAGCTTGCAGGCTTGGCGTTTGTTCCGTCGGAGGCCACGTGCATTACCGACGCTGGTTCGTCCAAGATTGATTATTTTCTGGCCGCCAGCAACTTGGTTCCAAGACTCGACAGGCAGGCGGTGGTGATGAATGCCCAAGCCACCATTCCACCTCCACATTTTCCCGTGCAGCTGGTGGTCCATGGGTCGGACAGGCCCATGTGGTGTCGAGTTGCTGATGAACCGAGGAAGTTTCCCCCGATCCCACCAGTAGGATGTGCGAGGTACCCTTACAACTGGGACGGGATCAAAGGCATGTTTGAGTCGGTGAAGGCGCCCAGTGACTTACCGCGTGTGTGGGATGCAGTACTTGATGGCGTTGATTTCGAGATCGCTGGGAGATTTGACAAAGTCGATGGTAAGGCCCAGGAATTCGTTGGACGAGCTGGACCCCCGAGATTCAAATGGGAACAAACGACATGGACTCCACCTCGAAAGCGAGAATATCGTGACTCCAGGGTAGCTGCGTGGGCCACGGCAAAGCGTTGGGTGGCCCACTTGCGGTCGGAGAAGGATAAGCTGCACCGTTTCTGTGAGCGGCTCCGAATATGCAGTGCGGTGTGCACGTTAACCGAGATGCAGTACTTCAAGGTGCTGCAGGCGTTCGACGAGGCTGGGAGATATTGTGACAAGATTTCTGCTGAGCAGTGGGTGCTCAAGGATTTGGGTGAGGAGTTCAGTGAATTTCTGCAAAAAGGGTTGGTGATGATTGTCGATCCAAACTTTGAGAGTATCACTGATGCCATTTCCGCCCAGGCCGACAAGGTTTTAGGCCAGGAGCGTTCTAGAACGGAAAAGATTTGGAGAGAATGGGCTAGTGAGTCTTTCTTGGAAGGGGCCAGTCGGGCCCATGCGATGTCCAAAGTCCGAGCACAAGCTGAAGTACTCCAATATTGTCAGGAGTCGCAGCCATACCAGCTTGCGGACCAGACTTTGCGGCAGTGGTCCAAGGTATGGACGCATCATCGGCTTCAAGCGCCTGATCTTCCCTCGGATTCCAGTGAGTGGGACGCTCTTCCCCATATCTCTTTTACTGATGTAAGGAATGTGGTGAGGTCCTTTTCGACCAAGACAGCTGCTGGCCCAACGAGGTTGGCGCCGAGGAGTCTGGACGTCCTGTCCGACGGCGCGCTCCAAGCTATTGGCAACCTTTTCATGTTATGTGAACGGTGGTTGTGCTGGCCAGCAGATCGAATATACAGCGAACTCGTGCGACTGCCGAAACCCGATGGCGATCACCGATTAATTGTTCTGAGTAACACATTGATACGTGTATGGGGGAAACTCAGGCGACCGATTTCGAGGGAATGGCAAGATCGATATGCCTGCCATGAGATGTGGGGCACGAAATCGGGGCAGACTTCGAGCGATTCGGCATTCGACCACAATTTGCAGCAGGAGATTGCCGAGTTGCTAGGGGAGAACACATGCACGATTCTTTTGGATATGTCCAAGTGCTACGAGATGGTAGACCCGCACGCTTTGTTGCGAGAGGGGAGAGCCTTGGGGTTCTCTATGCGATTGCTGTGGATGCTCGTGTGCAGTTACCAGCAGCCGCGAAGGATTCGCGCGTTTGGTAGCGTATCGGTTGGGCAGGTATCTCACCAAGGAATTTTGGCGGGTTGCACGCATGCTACTTTCCTCCTCTACCTGCTCACGTACAGGGCTGTCAGTAGAGCAAACCAGGTCTCGGTCACGGTCACGCCCCGCACCCTCATGGATGATGTCGGGCTCCAGTCCATCTCGAAGGCCCCTGAGGACCTCAAGTATCTGGCCATTGCGGCCAAGGGCTTCGTCCACGATTCCAAGGGGCTGGGTATGGTTTTAAATGCTGCGAAGTCAGGCGGGATCCCTGGGAAAAAACGTCTCTGGAAGACCGTCAGTAAGTACATGGGCTCCATGAAGATCCCGTTCAAGGCCCACATGAGGAACTTAGGCCACGAGTTGTCAGGACCTCGAGTATTGCGTAGGATCGAGAAGCGTCGCCTGACCAGTTTTAGAGATCGCCGCCAGCGTTTCACCATGCTGCGAAGGGCGACAGGCAGGCGAGTGACAGCGTTGTGGAGGACTGGGGCCCTGCCGTCAGTTGGCCACGGCGCCACTGTGGCAGGGGTGAGCGACTCGGCTTTGAAGGAGCTCAGGCTGTTCGCGGCGGTCCTCAATGGGGCTCCTGGCAGATCCTCCACGGGGCTCACGGCGTACTTGATCTCGCACAAGAACGACCAGTATGACCCCATATACCATGCGACGTTGCAGGTTGTGATTAAGTTTTCGGAATGGATCTGGGACTCCAGGGTTCAACCGAGCAGGCTCCACAGGGCCTGGGAGAAGCTCAACGAGAAGTTCGGGGGCTCGCAGAAGGCTTCGTGGGCCCAGGCCAGGGGCCCCATGGCGGCCACATGGCTGTCGCTTCGAAGGATCTCTTGGGACCTTGTCGCCAGCCACGTTGTTAGGGACGACCTAGGCCGAGTCTACGACCTCAGGACGCTGAGCCCAGCAGATTTCAAGCACTTCTTGACCGAGGGAGTGCAGAGGTGGCAACACGGCCGCCTCTTGCGGCATCTTTATACTGTGGGTGACGGAGTAGCTATTCCAGTCTGGCACAGGGCCCTCAGGTATGCGATAAAAGGGATTCGATGCGTGAAGCGTCTTGGAGCGATTCAGGCACACTGGGCCGACGGTATCCCTATACCTGCCAGGCTGGATTTGAAGGCTGGAGGCCGATTCCGTCCCTGCGCAGCTTGTGTTCGCCAGATCAACGAATGCTGGGGACACATTCTGTACGACTGCCCTGCTCTCTTGGAGGGCGACCCCGATGATGAATTTGCTGCCCTGCCTGAACAGCTTGTCGAAGTGCGAGATCGCCTGGTGAATTCTGGAGTCGGGGCAGGTCGTCCCGAATGGGACTACACATACCCTGTCTATGGGATCCCTGAGCTTCCTGTCGGGCTACCTCCGAGAGATTCTGTGAGTTCTGAAGTTTTGTACTGGGGCGATACCGAAGGGCAATGGGGGCCAAAGTCGTACACGGACGGTTCGGGGTTCGGGTCGAATGTGCCAGAAACCAGGAGGTGTGGATGGGGCCTATGCCAGTTGGACCCCGACACTTTCTTGCCGAAGCGGGCGATTTTCGGCCCATTGCCGTATCTAATCCAGACAGTCGGTCGTGCTGAAAGATATGCTATACGTATGGGGCTGGTTGTTCATCCAAACCACGAGGTTTTCGTGAGCGATTTACTCTCTTTGGTGGAGGAGGGGAATGCTTGGATGGACGAACTTCAGCACGGCCGAAAGCAGCATGCACGTGTGTGGCGAGATATTTTTATTGCAGCTGAGAGGCGGGACAAGAAGCTGCCGCCTCCAGCATTCCAGTGGACCCCTGCGCATCGAGACATCGAAGCTGTGGTGTCGAGCGGGGCTGGTACTACGGAAATTCAAGATTGGCTCGGCAATGCCTGGGCGGACTTTTTCGCAAGAGTTGGCGCTGCTCAACATGCTGTCGCAAAGGTGACGACCGAGAGCGTGGCGTCCGCCCTGAAAGAGCACCGACTGGTTCTTCAGTATGTGTCCTGGGGAATCCAGAGGGTGGTGGAGTCTCAGAAGTACGGACGAGATGCGTTTCCAGGGCCCCGTCCAGTTGAGATTCGTGCGCCTGTGCTCTTTCAAAAAGCGGATGATCATGTATTGTACAAGAACGTCAAGACGGGCGTTTTCAAGTGTAGAAGGTGCGGGGCCTCAGCCCGCACGCCTGCATCCTTCGACAATCTGCGTGTGGGTGGGGGTCGGAAGTGTGTGCCCAGCAAGATCACCCAGGCCCTCACAAATGAGTTCTTCAGGACGTCCCTCGACGTGTGGGAGATGCCAGTGAGTGATGCGCGCGTGGCCGCTGCCCTCGATGCCGCTGCCGCCTTAGAGCCCCAAGGAGCCCCCGAGGAGGCCGAAGGAGGCCCCTCCCAGCCACCTGTGCTCGACGGGGCCTCTAGGGAGGATGTGGACCCCCTCATCCTGGAGTGTGGGGCTCTAGGGCACGATGTGTTCCGTGTTAATTCAATGTATTGCTGCCGTCGTTGTGCAGGGCATTGTTCAGTGTTGCAGGTTAATAGTCTCAGGAAGCTGAAGCGTGAGTGTGTAGGCCTCTCTGACAACCTCAGCACTCGGAGGAACCAGCTCAGGGCGATCGACAGGATCAGCCGTGGGCTCGAGCCACGTCAGCGAGGAGGGGACCCCGAGCCCCCGCCGTAGGCTGTTTTTGGTCTGGGCCCCCAGGTCCCTGGCGTGTGTGGTCCTGGGGCCCCTCGCGTTTCCTGGTGTGGCCGTTTTTCCCTGTCCTTGTTTGTGCTGAGGTATGTCAGTCCAGCTGGCGTACTCTTGGTAGCCTGCTGCCTCCTCCTCCTCCTCCTCCTCCTCCTCCCTCCTTCCTCCTCCTCCTCTTCCTCCTCCTCCTCCTCCTCCTCCTCCTCCTCCTCCTCCTCCTCCTCCTCCTCCTCCTCCTCCTCCCCCTCTCTCGCCCAAGAGAGCAGGCGATGATCGAGATCGCCTGCATGTGGGAGTGGTTCTTCACCGCGCAGGCGCGGCCTTCTCTGTCCCGGACTCCCCCCAAAGAGGGTGCCCAGGAGAGGGGTGCCTCCGCAGGGCCAGAGAGAGGCCCAGAGAGGAGCGGAAGGAGCAGGAGGCAGGGGAGGGGCGGGGGGCCCCGGGGGGGTCGTAGAAGAGGGGGCTGTCCCACAGGGGGGCTGGAGAGCGAGCCCAGCTGGATGCTCACGTTTCCTTCGTCCAGGGGCCGTTCAGAGCGGTGTCCCTCCCAGAACCCCACCTCCGCCTTGACCCCACCTTTGCGTCCCCCCTGGGGGGGGGGGAGGAAGAGAAGGCGGGGGAGAGGAGGGGGCAGGGGAACAAGCAATAGCGTAAACATAAAAACTCGGCGTCCCCCCGGGGGAGGGGAGGAAGAGAAGGCGGGGGAGAGGAGGGGGCAGGGGAACAAGCCATGGCGTAAACATAAAAACTCGGAGGTCCGCGCGGATTCCTCGGATCGGCGCTGGGCCCCCTGGCGGCGCCTCCGGCGCCATTCTGGGCGGCGCAGCACGAGGGATGCGTGGGTAGAGCAAGTCGAAATAAGGGTACGATTGCATAAACATGGATGCTCTGAGGTCCGCGCGGATGGCTTGCATCGGCGCTGGATCTCACAAAGAATGCAAGATCCCGCCGTGCACGCGCGCCCCCGATCCTGGAGGAGGGAGGAAGGGAGGGAGGAGGGAGGTTGTCGTTTGGCGATGGCTTGGCGTTCGGGGGCATTTGAGGCCTCTTTCGGGCCTCCTGCAGGGGACTGATTTGGGCCCCTCGGGGGCCTCCTGGGGCTCTGGGGGGCGGCCCTTCCACAGGACCAGATGACACTCGAACTCGCGCCTCGCAGCACAGGGGTTTCTATTTTCTTGCCCGAGGAGGACGCAGAAGGGCCGTGTTTTACCATCCGCAGAGCGCCTTGTGGCAGACAGAAAGAGGAGGAGGAGGAGGAAGAGGAGGAGAAGGAGGAAGAAGGAGGAGGAAGAGCTAGAAGGAAGAATAAGTAGAAGAAGAAGAAGAAGGAGGTGAAAGAGGAGGAGGAGGAGAAGGAGGAGAAAGAGGAGAAAGAGGAGGGGGAGGAGGAGGAGGAGACAGAGCAGCAAGAGGAGGCGGAGGGGCAGGACTCAGCGGGCCCGCACGCCCCCGGCCGCTGGACCCCCGATCTCGCCGCCGCCGGCCGCGCCGGCCGTGCCCCGCGAGGCCATGATCGAGTTCCGGCGCTCGCTGGTGCAGGCCGGGCGGGCGGGCCTCCCGCCGCGAGGGTCGAGCAGTGGCGAAGTAAAACGACGCGAAGATCGGACAAAATCGGATCGGGATAACTCGAAATCTCTGAGAAGCGGCGGGGTTGGAGGATGTATGGGGCGCCGCGGGCGCTCCAGAGCGTTCCGGAACGCTCTGAGAGCGCTCCGGAACGCTCTGGAGCGATTTATCCCGATCCTAGCCCTGTTTTACAGTGGCGAAGCGTCTTGGCTCGCCTATAGCCCTACCAAGCAAGGTTCTGAGAACCTGTTCTGTGGTTTCCACGAGATGCTCTCAGAACAGTTCTGGCCGAGTCTGCCCTGTTTTCTCACGTCGGGCTTATGCTCTAAGAACCTTGCTTTGGTTCTTAGAACATTTCTGGGTTCTAAGAACATGTCGTGGTAGGACTATAGGAATGCCGGGACAGTCGGTCCCTGCTCAAGAGGGGTCGCCGCTTCGTCGTCGATCGTCCTCTCGGCCGGGTGTTTCTGGAAGTGCCCCTGGCCAAGCCCCGAGGTCCTGGCGTCTTATTTTTTTCGAGCTGGGCGTCTTCGCCTTTTTTCCCCCCCCCCCCCCCCCCCGACCCTCACATATCGATCCCACTCGAAAAATGTTTGGAGCTCACCGAGCGCGTTCCACTACTCGCAAAGTGCCTACTCGCAAACGTCAGAAAACCCCATGTCTGCTTCGATGTAATTTATCGTAGATTCGCCGTCGCGGATCCGGGCCATTTGCGAGCAGTCACTTTGCGAGTAATGGAGCGCGCTCGTCTAGGAGCTGTCTGGGGGTCTGAAGTGGGACTGGTTCCGAGCAGCAGGAAGGGCGGGCAGGTTCGGCGTTCGGGGTTCGGGGCTGTGTTCTGCTCTGTTCGGCCTCTGGGGGTCGTTTCCGGGCCCCAGGACCATGACAACGGATTCGGCGTAAAAAAATGCACCAGATGGACCCCCGGGAGGGATCCAGGGACCGATTTTGGCCAGATTTGGCAGCATCAACCCCTCCGGACCGGTTTTCGGGGGTCCCACCTCCAAGCTTGAAGTCCCCCTGGCCCAAGGAGATCCCACACGCCCTCCACAGCACCCTTCACGAGGCCTAGAGGGCCCCATGGGCTCCAAACTTGAGCGAAAAGCCAACCGGCGGCGACCACGCCGCCGGCGTTCAACGTTGAACGCCGCTGGCGACCAGGAATCGGTCGGTGTTGAACGATCTGGCGTTTCTGAAACAGCCGATCGTTCAAGTTTGAACGATCCCCGAGGTGTCGGGAACCAACGCCAGAATCGCCACGACACAATCCCGCCGTAATTACGCTCGAAACGGGTACACAAAGAATGCGCACGAAGACCAACAACAGCTCTTATTCATTTTGAATCGGGTTCGTTGTCGGCGTCGCTACGCTGTCCATTTGAGACAGAAGGCTGCCTGCCCAGCAGCGGCTGCTGTGTCGGTGTTTCACAAGATTTGCCGGTGTTCATCGTACCCACCTTTTCCCCACCCAGTCCGGGCGTCCAAACAGAAGGGGTTTGAGCGCTAGGGGAGAGCGGATATAATTATGCATATACATGTTATATATGTATATATAAATATATGTATGCACACATGAGGGATATGCATATGTATATACATATGCATATGTATATGCATATGCATACACAAATATACATGCTATATATACTTATGTATACACGCATATATAAATATACAAACATGCATATATAAACATGTGTATCTAAAATGTATCATGACTGGGGCCGTGATGCATCCCCAGATTTCACGCCCCCCTTGTTTTCTTCCAGCATGTCCCCTGCCCTCCCCCATCGGCCGCGCACGTGCCTCGGGCCACGACTTGCGAGCCTCCCTCTCTTGGACGCCCCCGAAAGTCGCGGCAGGCTGCTGCACCGCGTGTGGCGTCCCCGTCCGCCCGGCCGGTGCTGCCTTAAGAGTCTGGCCGGAGCGCGCCCCCGGACAGGTCGCGGGGCTCGGTGTTTGGGCAGGAGGGGCGTTGGAGAGAGGGAGGAGGAGGAGGAGGAGGAGGAGGAGGAGGAGGAGGAGGAGGAGGAGGAGGAGGAGGAGGATCGGCCGCGCACGTGCCTCGGGCCACGACTTGCGAGCCTCCCTCTCTTGGACGCCCCCGAAAGTCGCGGCAGGCTGCTGCACCGCGTGTGGCGTCCCCGTCCGCCCGGCCGGTGCTGCCTTAAGAGTCTGGCCGGAGCGCGCCCCCGGACAGGTCGCGGGGCTCGGTGTTTGGGCAGGAGGGGCGTTGAGGGAGGAGGAGGAGGAGGAGGAGGAGGAGGAGGAGGAGGAGGAGGAGGAGGAGGAGGAGGAGGAGGAGGAGGAGGAGGAGGGAGGAGGGAGGAGGGAGGAGGGAGGAGGGAGGAGCGAGGAGGGAGGAGGGAGGAGGGAGGAGGGAGGAGGGAGGGAGGCAGGGGCAGGAAGGCGGGGCAGTGCCTGGGACCCCGGCGCGGACTTCTCGTGGCCACGCGCGGGGGGGGGGTCCTCCTGCAGAGGTCCCCATCGAGGCGGCCCGGCGGCGCGCATCGGCGGCAGGTCCCCCTTCGGCGCGCCCGGCGGCAGGCACTGGACGTGAAGAGCTCGCAGCTGCTGCAGATCCCGCACTTCAACGAGGACCGAGCCCAGACCTCTGTCGGGGGTGGACAGGCCTCCTACCCTGACACGTCGATCAAGGGATTGGCCGTGTTCGGTTCGCGAGAGGGCGTCGCGGCCGTCCTTTTCGCGGGTCCAGGTCCGCGGGTTTCGGCCCCAGGCCGTTTTCACGAAGGGGAGGTTTACGAAAGGGAGGTTTGTCCACCGCCGACTCTGGCGTCTTGAAGAAGCCGATGTTCGCGGTTGGAGTTCTCACGTTCCCGAAGCAGCTTCGCTGCCACTGTTCTACGGCCTGCCTCGAACTGAGGATGCAACTCTTCGGAGGGTCAACTCCGCGTTTGCATACCCGTGGTAGGAACTGGCCTAATCCTGCTGATCCCGCGCAATCCGTCCTAACCCAATGGGATCCCAGGTTTCATCTGGGCTGATGCGGCTCAATTGCCCATTTCGGTTCGTTGGGCTGCGTCGGGATTTTTAACCTGACATCTTTCTTACGAAGGCCTCCCAGAAGACGCCTCCTGTACAACGTCTGGTCAAGGAGCCCAGGCCCTCGAAATCGGTTGCCCATCGTTGCCTTTTAGGCCCCCCATCGTGCCCCAGGGGCTGTTCAACCCCTCTCTCCTTTCTCTGGAGGGCGGGGGGGAGCTCCTGGGGATGGGGGGGCGTTTGGGCCTGGTGGGGTTCGGGGAAGTGGGACTGTAGGTTGTGGGACCCCTTACGTGGTGTGTTTCTGGCTACTGGCCGTGGAAGTCGAGCTCTCTCTTTCTCTCTCTCTCTCTCTCTTTCTCTCTCTCTCTCTCTCTCTCTCTCTCTCTTTTCTCTCTCTCTCTCTCTCTGTCGCTCCCTCTCTCCTTCTTAATTTCATACACATTCACACCGACATATCCGCACATGGATATCCCTACCCTCTCATCTCTTCCATCATTCATCCTTCCCCCGCCCTTCCTGCGTCCCTCTCTGTCGTTTCTTTTTGTTATCCCTCCCTTCCTCTCTCTCTCTCTCTATCCCTCTCTCTATCGCTCTCTCTCTCTCTCTCTCTCCCTCTCCTTGCATGTATATCTCTCTATATGTATAGTTATCCTCTCTTTCTCACTCTCGGTCATTCGTGAATATGTAGTTACGTATAGCATGGATCGTTTGTGTGTTGCTCTCTCTCTCATTCTCTCGTTATTGTTGTTCCTCTCTCTTTCTATTTCTCCCTCCGGGAACCCCGGGACACCACCCGGGACCCCCCCCCGGCGCGGGGAAGGGATCAAAGGGAAGGGGATTCCATTCGATTCCACTCCTATTCAATTTTGCTTTGGACGGCGCCTATGAGGACGAGGGCCCAGACAAGTGGAACAGAGGACGACGGAGACGACGACTTCGACGGAAAAGCTCGATTCGAACGGAAAAGCCCCTCAACAACACGCCGACAGGATCGGGGGATTCCAGAAGGGCGCCTTCCCCCACCTGTCGCGCATGCTCCGTGCCCCTGCGTGAGTTGTCCTCGGAGCCCTTCGCCGCTTTTCTAGCTAATTTTTTATAAGGGCGCAGTGGTCCGACAGGCTCCGTGCCAAACATGCTGCTTTCCCGCCGTTCGGAGCCGTCCAAAACCACTTGACTTCGCATAAGGTCCGTTGGGCGTCGGATCTGCATGGGAGTTGCAGCGGATCCGTGCCCGGATCCGACGCCCGCGGCGAGGTTGACATTCCCGAACGGGGACCCTCGTCGACGTCTGCGGGGACCCCTGCATTCGTTTTCGGGCGCCCGACGCTGCGCCCACTGCCCGCGAACTGCCGCCAAACCCCCTGTTCCCCAGGCTGGCTGGGCCGACGGCCCCTGGCCTGGCTGGACCGACAGTCTGGCGCTTTCGTGCGATCTGAAGAGTCGGGCCGAATTCTCAAATCGTGCCAACTTACGTGACTGTCTGTAGGGAGCTCCACCGACGGCCCCAGCGGTTGTGACCACATGCTTCCCGCGACACCCCAAACGGCGTTTCGTGGCCCCATAGGGAGCTACGGCGTTTCGTGGCCCCATGAGTAGCTCCACCGAAGGCCCCACCGGCTGTGATCACATGCGTCCGCGCCACCCAGTACGGCATTGCGTGGCCTCATAGGGAGCTCCACCGAAGGCCCCAGTGGCTGTGATCACCCATTGCAGCACACCTCTCACGCGTTTCGTGCCCGCATAGGGGGTTCCACCGAAGGCCAGCGGCAACGTTCGCATGGCGGCTCCGCTCCATTTCGGCACACCCCTCACACGTTTTATGTTCTTGAACGTTGTTTGGGACGTCTTGGGGGCCCAGAGAAGGATGGCTTGCGCTGTATTCAAGCGCAGCCTTGCGAGTCGCCCGTGTGCTCTGGTAAGCCCAGAGTTGTGGTCGATTTGGTGGCAGTCACTACGCCGAAGCGGGCATTCCCAACACATTCAGAAGTATACGTCTCTACCACCGCGCGGACAGCGAACCGTTGGTTCATTCTGAGCTATACCAAACAAGGGCAACCAGGAATGGGACTTTCGGGCGGGCCTCTGCGCGGGCGGCCACCCGGACAAAACAGGCAACGGCGTTGTTTGGGCGCAGGACTTACGAGCGGGACATGTGAGGCCGGACAAAACAGGCAACGGCGCTGTCTGGGCGCAGGATTTACGAGCGGGACATGTGAGGCAATGAGAATATCAAGGACAGAAGGACAAGTAAGATGGGACCCTTCGTGACGGGACCTAGCGATGCAACCAGAACGTCTAGGATGCAATGGTCGTGAAGGGCGGTACTCTGCTCGGCAAGCGGAAGATTCAGGAAGATTGAGTAATTCGCGGGACCCGCAAATCGCCCCAAGACAGCCCAAACGGGCCCCAAGAGTGGCCGCAAGACGTTCCGCATCCGATGTGATGGTTCAGGCGCACTTTCTTGCATTCTTCCTTGCGGCCGCGGCGGTCGCCGTGGCTTACCCACACGCGCAGGCGAAGCCTTGTCGGTTAAGATCGACGAGGCCCCAGATGGCCACCAGATCATGGTGTTTTGCGATGTTTCTTGCCTACCGCATGCAGGTCGCGAGCTCCATCCAGGTCCAGATTAGCAGCACGCAGATGTCTTCCCGTGCGCAGCTGCATGAGCCTATCGCTGGCGACACTCAACACTACAACGCCTCGAGCACGAGGGCCCAATCGATTCCATACACATGTCCTTGCACCCTTGGTGGGACTTGTGTGTGCCAGGGCAGCCAGTGCAATGCATGTAGCATTGGTTGCGTGTCGTCATCATATGCTGGGGGCGCGTATTTCAAACATTGGTATTGTGGAACTTGCGGCTGCTTGACTCCTACACCAGCACCGACCCCAGCGCCGACGGCATCACCGACCCCCGCACCGACGCCAGTACCTGCGACGAGTTCGGCCGTTGACGATCCCCACATGCAGAATGTACATGGCGAGCGTTTCGATCTGGTAGCTCCAGGCAGGCATGTGCTAGTCAACATCCCTCGTGGAGAGAGCGCTGAACGAAGCATTGCTTCGCGTGCAGGCCGATGCGCGCCGGTTGGGTAGGCAGTGCACCGATCTGTACTTCCAAGACGTGAACGTGACCGGGTCTTTGGCAGAGGCAAACCAAGCCGGAGGGTATCAGTACAGCGTGTATCAGAAAGAGGTCATGTTTCCGAAGTGGGTTGTTTTCGGTCATTTGCCGAGTTGAAGATCGTTCGCGGACGCACGGACGGCGGATCGGACTACTTCAAAGTGTACGTGAAGCATTTAGGACGAGCAGGCTTTGCTGTGGGAGGTCTTCTGGGCGAGGATGACCACAGCGATGTGCGCACACCCGCGCAGGAGTGCATGACGCAACTGAGTCTTCAGCACATGCCCGCCAACCAGTCTAGCAGTGGCTTCTCAGCGGTCTCGGCTGCAGTGGGAACGTTCGCTTAATTGCGGCCTGCAGGCTGCGTACATGCAATGGTGTTTCAGTGTTTGTTCCCGACCTTGCCTGCCAGTGTTTCTGATAATGTCGGTGAGAGAAGAGAGGGGGCCCAAGACGCTCCAAGAGGCCACCAGCGGGGTTCTAAGAGTGTCCCCATGTAGCCCAAACCAAAGAGACCCCCAAGGCGTCCCAGAGGAACCCAAGGTGATTGTGTTGTGCATTCTGGCGCAGCCGATCCGACCCGATGTCCATTCCGTGCCGATGCAGCCAGATCCGATGCACATGCCGACTTGATCAGGTTTCTAGATTCGATGTTGACTGATTTTACCTCTTGCTGCGCAATTGCATGGAAGTTGATGGCCGGCACGCGCGTCTCGCTGACTACCTCCGCCCAGAGGGCCACGCAGCACGCGAGCGGGAGTTGACTGTCAGACGCTGGAGGGGATGCTGAAGGCATTCGACGGATCCTCACTGTTCCTCCGCTCGCGCACCGCTTGACGCAAGGCCCCACCTGACCTGACCTCCCCCCTCCCTCCCCTCCTGCCCCAGCCGGCTTGGTTGTCCTGCCGCCAGGCCCTCTCTGGCTTCCTCTTCCAGTTGCTGCTGCCGGCTCCCACCACGAGCACCACGCGCGTCAGGCTCAGCAGCGCGTGCTGTCAGAGCGTTGCAGATCTTCGGGTGCAGCTCCTGGGGGGTCGACTTCTGATACTGCCCAGGCCCGAGATCCGGCTCAATGCCGCCGACTCCGCTTGAACCCCGCCTGATCCGCGGCCTAACCTGGCGTAGCAGCCCCCCAATGGGGCTCGACTCCCCCCCCAATCCTTCCCCCGCAGGTGCACAACCTCGCCAGGGGGGGCTGTTCCCCAGGAGCGAAGGCCTGGGCGAGAGCGGGCACGTACGGCACATTGAAAGAGGAGGAGGAGGAGGAGGAGGAGGAGGAGGAGGAGGAGGAGGAGGGGGACGAAGAGGAGGAGGAGGAGGAGGAGGAGGACGAAGAGGAGGAGGAGGAGGAGGAGGACGAAGAGGAGGACGAAGATCGTCCCGCAGTTGCCTCCTGAGCACATCGGACCGGACGTCCCCTTGCTCCGCCGCCTCCTGGCTCCCGGCCCCCCATCGCCCCCCCCCCGCTGCCGGCCAGTGCCGCTCCCCCATCCCCGGGCCCGTCGCCTGCCTCGGCGCCGCGCGTCGGGGTCCCTCCAGACGCGATCTCTGCTCCGCCACGGCCTTGGCGCGCCCGAGAAGGCTGCTGCAGCCGTGGGCCGAGGTCGATGCGTTTTGCCCCCCCCCCAGCCTGTCCCCTCCGAAAGTGCGGTACGGTGACGATGTCGATGATCTCCATCGTCATCGCCATAGTTATCTTCATCGTCATCATCATCATCCTCATTATCATCATCCTCAGCATCATCACCATCATCACCACCACCATCATCATCACCATCATCAGCATCACCATCATCATCACTCAGCATCACCATCACCATCACCACTCAGCATCATCATCACTATCACCATCACCACTCATCACCATCACCACTCATCATCATCATCATCATCAACATCATCATCAGCATCATCAGCATCAGCATCATCATCATCATCATCGTCGCCAGTATCATCAGCATCGTCAGTATCGTCAGCATCGGCATCGTCATCGTCATTTTAATCGTCATCGTCATCGGCATTATAATCCTCATCGTCATCGCCATCGGCATCATCAGCCCCCGAGGGCTCCGCCTCCTCCCCGCCCGCCTCCCGGGCGGCCCGCCGGTCTTCCCCCGCCCGGCTTCCCCCTCCCTCCGCCTGGCGCGCGTGCTCTCGCTCCCCTCTGCCCCTGCCTCCCCGCATCCGCCTCCCCCCCTCCCCATCCGCCTCCTCCTGCTCCCGCTCCGCTTTCGTCCTCGGCTCCCCTTGTTGCACCCCCCTTCTCAGGAGGGAAAACACAGACAGACGCAATGAATCGTCGATCCCCCGGAAAATATGGGAAAATATGGGATGTGGTGGGGAAGATAAAGACCCAGAAAATATATGGAAATATTGGGAATCTTGTTTTTTGTGTGTATTTATTTGTGTGTCCCAGGGCCCCTTCACTCGCCTCCCCCTCCCCTTCTTCTCCTCCGCTCCCACGCTGCCTCCAGTCCTCCCCATCCCCCTCGTCTCTGCCACTCCCCTGCCCTCCCCCGTCCCGTCCCTCCACAAGTATTGCGAAGGCCTTACGGCCAGTGCCGCCGACCCTGCAGGGGAACGACGACGACAACTGCGGCGACGGCAACCACGCTGACGTGGGTCAGAGTCCTCATGGATGCTTCTTGGGGTCTCTTCGAAGCGCTCTCGGGGGCCTCTGGGGGACAGTTCATGGGCCTCTTGGGAGCCGCTTGGGGGCCTCTTGGAAGCCTCGTGGGGGCCTCTCGGGGCTTGCTGGGGGCCTCTTGGACTCTTGGCCCGTCTTGGGTTTTTTGGGGGCCCCAGGACCCCCCGCGGCGGAGTCGTATGCGACCCGGGAAACTTCCCAGGACCGAGGCCCCCTTTGCCCGGCGGGAGAGGGATCAAAGGAAAGGGGTTCCCCTTCGAGTCAATTACGACGCTGCTCAATTTCGCTCTGGCTGGCGCGCTGGAGGAGGAGGGGCCCAGGGAAGAGGGAGGAGCGGCGACGAGCCCGGCGCTTGAGGAGGAGGAGGGCGCAGGGAACAGAGGGGGAAGCGGCGACGGGCCCAGGGAAAGGGAGGGCGCAGGGGAAGGGGGACGACAGACGACAACTACCGAGCGACGGAGACGACAGCTCTAACGAACAAGCCCCTCACACACGCCGACAGGGTCGGCGGATGTCATTCGCTCGTTGGTGTGATCTGTTTGTCTCCCTGCCTGTCTCTCTCTCTCTCTCTCTCTCTATCTATCTATCTCGCCCCATCTCTCCCGCTTCCTTTGCCTGCCTCCTCCTCTTCCTCCTCCTCCTCCTCCTCCTCCTCCTCCTCCTCCTCCTCCTCCTACTACTCCCCCTCCTCCTCCTCCGCCTCCCCCTCCCTGGTCCATCCCACCTTCTTCTCACCACTTATCATCATCCGCCCCTCCCTCCTCCCCGCTCCCTGCTCTCTCCTCCTTTCGCCCCCCCCCCTCTCCCTCACTTCTCCTTCGTGAAGCCACCGTCTGTTCCTCCTCGGCCTCCACATCATCATCCTCCCCCCTTCGATTCCTCGGGCTTCCGCCTTCCAGGAGACTGCCTGCGCCCAGCACGAGAAGGAGGAGGAGGAGGAGGAGGAGCGGGAGGAAGGAAAAGCTTGAGGAGGGAGGAGGGGGGGGAGAGTGGAGAGGAGGGTAGGGGAGGAGAGGGAAGGGAGGAGGATGGATCGAAGCAGGAGGGGGAGGACGACAAAGAGGAGAGAACAAAAAAGGCTGTGGAGGAGAGGGGGAGCAGGAGGCGGGACGAGCAGGAGGAGGGACGCCAGGAGGGCGAAGGAGTGGGTCGCAGAGGAAGGAAGAGGCGGATGAAGATGGACAGGAGGAGACCGGAGAGGAGGACCGGGAGGAGACGGAGGAGGCGGACGGAGGAGTCTGGGGTGGCCAAGAAGGGGGCGATGATCGGGGGGGGGAGATCCTGGCGGGGGCCCTGATATGTCCCCAGATGTCGTGAGGCCGCTTCTTGTTGGGAGGGCCTAGCGGCGGGTGCCGCCGACCCTGAAGGGGAACGGCGATAGCGGCGGCGGCGGCAGCGGCGACGACGACGACGACGCTGACGCTTCGATTCCACTCCGATGTTTCTCAAGTTTGCTCTGGACTGCGCGTCTGAGCAGAGGGCCGAGGCAAGTGGAGCAGAGGAGGCCGGAGACGACAGCTCTCCCCGACTCGAGCGGAAGAGCCCACATCGCACACGCCGACCTTGGGCATCCCCCCTGGCCGCGCACATTGGGCGCTGCGTAATGGGGGATCATAAATGGGGGGGCGGCGAGTGTGGTCCGAAAAGGTACCCAAATGGTACCTAAACGAGCCCCCTGGGGCTCTGGAGGGGCCCGAACGGGGCACGACAGGGGACCTTTTCTGAACCCCCCATTTGTGATCCCCCCATGAAGCCACGCCCGAGCACATGCCGCCGGCCATGATGTGCGCCCTTTTTCGCAAGCCTAGAGATTGACACCAACACCAATATCGGCGGTGTGCCTCCACCGAGGGAAGAAAATCCCGATCTCGGTGATGGTGGTAATATTTTGGCTTCCAAGGTGACCGAACTATTGCCACCAACACCGAAATCTAGGATCATCTTCCCCCTGTGGAGGCAAACCCCTGTGTTGGTGTTGGTGCCCATTTCCAGGCCTCCAACCTTTGGCCGACCCCCCTCTTGGCCACCCCCGGGGAGGGAGAAGGGAGAGGCGCGCGCGGGAGGCGCGCGCGCGCACGGGCCCGCCAGGAGAGCCTGAAGCACGCCCAGCGGGGCAAGAACTCGGCCCCCCGCCCCCCGAGCCCCTCCCCGCGCGCGGAGATCGACGCGTCGCCGGCGCGGGCTCGATGCAGGAGGGGAAAAAACACACACAGACACAAGTAATCGTCGACTCCCAGGAAAGTATGGGAAAACATGGGGATTGGGCGGGAAGACAAAAGCCCAAAAAAGATGTGAAACTATGAGGGATCATTGTATTTGTGTGTATTTATTTGTGTGTCCTTGGGCCCCTTGATCGACGATCCCCTCCCTCCTGGGCCAGTGCCCATGGCAGCTTGCGGCTCACGACTCGGGCCTCCAGCGGCCATTCGGGACGGCCCGAGCACCTCCGGCAAGCTCTCGGCCGGGCGCGGCCGCTGGCAGGCATCCCGAGGCTGGAGAGGGAGAGCCGCCGAGGACCCACGAACACCGCGAACCTCGAGCCCGCACCCCCCCCCCGCACCTTCCCACTCGCCCCCGTCGACCAGACGGTCGCTTGGCCCGGCTGCTCAGGCGACAGGCATGCCGGCCAGGTTGCCAGCCGTTGGGGGGGACGAGGGGCGGCGGCTTGGCCGGCAGAACTGCACGGGCCCCTCGTGGCTTGAGGGTGGCAGGCAGAAAAGAGGGGCGGGCGAGCGGGAGCAGCAGAAGGAGGGAGCAGCCAGAGAGGAGCTTTTTGTCGCGGGGGGCGGGGGGTGAGGGAAGGAGACGATGAGGAGATCCTCCTCCTCCTCCTCCTCCTCCTCCTCCTCCTCCTCGTCCTCCTCCGCCTCCTCCTCCTCCTCATCAGGGGCGGTGGGCGGAGGCAGGAGTGGCGGTGGGAGGAGGATCAAAGTTGTAAGGGAAGGGGGGGGGGGAAGAGGGAGGGCGAGGAGGAGGAGGAGGAGGAGGAGGAGGAGGAGGTCAGGAGGAGTGGGCGGAGGAGAAGGGGGCAGTGGGAGGAGGATCAAGACTGTGAGGGAGCGGCGGAGGGCCGCAGGATGAGGTGGACAAGGGGAGAGGAACAACGATGCAGCGGGAGCGAGAGATTCAGAGGGGGGAGCGGTCGGAACGGGGATGGGAGGAGCAGGCGACTCAGTAGGGGGAGGGGCAGGAGGGAGGGAAGGGGAGGAGCACGAGCAGGAGAGGGGGAGCGGGTGGCAGCAGGATCTGTGGCTGCGGAAGCAGTGGCGGGAGGAGGCGAATGCAATAGGTGAGCACGCTGACGGACTTTATTTCGAAGGCGCCGGAGGAGCGCAAGGCCACGCACGCCTCCGCCCACGCGAGGAGGAGGAGGAGGAGGAGGAGGAAGAGAAGGCGAGGGAATAGAAGAGGAGGGTGGGAAATGATGAGGATGTAGAGGAACAGGAGGAGCAGGACTAATGTAGGGGAGTAGAGGTCGGAGGAGACGGAGGAGGAGGAGGAGGGGAAGGATCAGCAGGAGAAGGAGGACCAGAGAAAACCCCAGGTGAATCGACGATGTTGTCATACATCCTCCGGCCCCAAGCACCCCATTATAAGTCTCTGCGATCCATGCTCTTTGCTACAAGGCGCGCCCACTTGAAAGTTGAGGATCCGATGAGCCAACCAGTCAAAGGATAGCCCTGGTGTGTAAAGGAACTGCCTTGCATTATTCTAGGGAATAAGAAATTCGAAAAGGTGTGGTCAGAAAGTTCAACGGGATGACCTGTCATAGTTCCGGTGTTGAACAGAAGCGCCCCGTAGTTGCTGCACAACACTGCATTTTTGTTCATACACATGCAGAAGTCTCAAGCCAGAGAGTCATGGTGGAAAGCATTGTCCTCCATCAGCGCAGCTGCTACACATGTTCAAAACTATGGCTTCTCAAGAATGTCAGGAAGTCAGAAGGGAGAGCTCCAAGTTGAAAAGGAACTGCCCTCCATCCTTGTATGTACGTAACTGCTGCAAGTTTTGAGACGAATCTGCGCGGCGCTCTCGCGAGGTCTCCATTTCGAAAGGAACGGCCCTCCACCCTTATAGCGGATGCAAGCTTGTAGACGAACGTGCGCGGCACCCAGGCCAGAGTCCCAGTTTCGAAACGACCACATACAGATCTGCAGTGGTTGCAAACGTTTGAGGCAATTGTGTGCGGCGTTAGCGCGAGATTACCTGTTTGAAAAGACCCCTGCCCATCCTTAGAATAGTTGTTCGTTTTTCAAACGAGTGTGTGCGGCGTTATGGCGAGAGCCTCATTTGGAAAGCCACCATCTCTCAATATTTGTCTGAATCTTCGAGCTTCAGGGTTGCAAGTACTGAATTGGTCTCAGGCGAAACGCCGTCGCCCACCCTGCCGACGTCGCCTGGTGGTGCGACACGGAGGAGGGCCAGAGCAATTCCAAAATGTAGCAATGATGATTCACATTACCTTGCGAGCACGAGCCCCCTCATCAGAAGTCCTTGCATGTCCTGTTCTCTGCCCGAAGCGCCTCCTTGAAAGACGGGGCCCCAGGGCCCCGCAAGTCAGAAGGGAGCTCCGCCTCTGAAAAAAAAGCTGCCCACCATACGTCGAGCTGTACGGAGCGCAATCGGCGGGGAGCCGAAGAGGCAAAAGGAAGCTTCAGGCGCCGGCTCCGCCTTGAGAAGGAACCGCCCGCCGCATGCACGGTTTGAAACGTCAGGTTTACGTCGGGCCTGTCCCCCATACAGAAGGAGATTCGGCGAAAAACAAAAAATACCCCAAAAATACCCCAACAAGGTCAAAACGTACCCCAAAAATAGTCCCCAGACTATGTTTGTAGCATGTTTGGATTATTTTGGGGGTATTTTCCATTTTTCGTCGAAAATCCCCCTGTAGGGCGACAGGCCCGACTTAACGTCAGGTGGCAAAATCGGCGGATGTCCTTGGCGAGGGCCTCGGCTTTCAAAAAGCAATTGGCTCCCTGCGTCCGCGAAGTGGTGGCGATCCATTGCAGCATGTGTCGGGGTGTTGTGCCAGAGTCTGCTAAGGAGCGATCACGCGAGCGCCCCAGTCTAAAAACGGATCGACCTCCACCCCGTTCACCTTTTGAAGTGGACTGCCCCCCGTCCGTATAACTGTTTCGAATTTCCAGTCTCAAGGTCGTGAGCGGTGAGGAGGTCTCAGGCGAAACGCCTAGTCCCACCCTGCCCTACCAACACGTCTGTTGGTGCGATTCGGGGGTGTTATTGATAAGGAGGGAGGATGGGGAAGGAGGAGGAGGAGGAGGAGCAGACCCGTCGATGGCCAATTTGGGCTCTTGGCCGAAATAAGAGGGCGACCCTCCCCCCCAGCTTGAGTGACCGGGTACGGTTCTGCCCCTTATTGTTGGCGCGCATTGAGACCTCGTGGTGCCCTTGCTTCCCATGCAGTGCGCAATGTTGGCCCCATGTGCGGCGAACCACGGGGATGTCCATCTCACCGAGCTGCCCCTTTCGCGGACAGGTTAAATACATGGCCTGATGAGGGAGGCCTGGAATATGCATGGCGTTGGCGTAGACGCATGATGGCCGTGGAGACGCACGTTTCTCCTCCCATTCGGCCTCCGGCCGCAGACTACGCTTGGTGACTGGGCCCCGCGCCGAGAGGAAGCGCGGCGCAACGTTGATCTTCGGCAATTCCCGCGTTCCCTCCCTTCCCCCCACTTTCAGAGGAGGAAAAGGTACCGATGATTACTGCTACCCTTCCCTCGTTTTCCCCCTTGGAGGCCCTCGTCGCCACTGCTGGATGTGCCTCGAAATTCTGGTCAAAACGCACCCCGGGAGAGGTCCGGGGGTCCGGGGGTCCGGGGAGTGGCGGTGTTGGTACCTCTGGTGTCCCCACCCGTCCCTTTCTCAAGCAGAAGAGCGTTGGAAGAGTATTCATCTTACGCTGCATCTTCGGGGGACCTTGCCTGTCCTGTACATTGCCGTCTTCTCTTGTATCCCACGTGGGTGCGACGTGGAGCCGACGCGGATTCGACGCGTATTTGACGCGGAATCGACGCGGGTATCGGCGTGATGGGACAGACAAAGTCCCTTGAAGATGCACCGTAAAACCAGATTTCAGCATTCACATTGGCTTCGCTGCCTTGCTTGCGACGCTGCCACGGCACGGCGGCACAGACGTGCCCGCGCCTCCGCGCGCGCGCGGGCTCTGCGTGACAGTTGATGGCTATCTCTGCGAGTTGCAGGCTTGGCATCGTTCGGACGTGTGTGTCTGTGTGTTTGTGTGTTTGTGTGTGTGTTTGTTTTTGTTTGTGCTTGTGTTTGTGTGTCTGAGTGTTTGTGCGTTTGTGCGTTTGCGTGTTTGTGTGTATGTTGTGTGTGGTTGTGTGTGCATGTGTTTGTGTTTTTGTTTGTGTGTATGTTTGTGGTTGTGTGTGTGGTTGTGTGTGTGTCTGTTGTGTGTGTTGTGTGTGTTGTGTGTGTGTGTGAGTGTGTGATTGTGTGTGGTGTGTGTTGTGTGTGTGTGCGTGGGTGTGGGAGTTGGTGTGGGTATGGGTGTGGGTGCGTGCGTGCGTGCGTGCTTGCGTGCGTGCGCGCCTGCGCGCCTGCGTGCCTGCGTGCGCGCGCGCGCGGGCGGGCGGGCGGGCGGGCAGGCGTCCGTCCGTGCGTGCGTGCGCGCGCGCGCGCGTGTGTGTGTGTGTGTGTGTGTTTGTGTTTTTGTTTCGGCGCGGACCATCGGGGAGCATCGTGAATCACGTTGCCAAAGAATACACGCACGGAGCCAACAATTCACCGGGGGATTGGACGTCCAAGCGATGGCAAGCAGAGCAGCAGCAACCGAGACATTGCACACCTCTCTCGTCCCCTCTCTCGGCCCAGAGTGCAAGAGGTTGCCAGAGGTCTCCAGAGGTCACCGCGGGAGGCCCCCAGAGAACCCGTCAGAGTCTTTGGGAGCTGCCGCCTGCAGAGACCTCTTGAGGCCTGAATTAAGTCCTGGATCGCCCAAGCGCTTCCTCGCGGCAGGATTCGCCATGAGCCAGAAGCAGCAGGATGGCGGGGATCGCGGGGTTAGTACGAGCAGTATCGTACAATCCTTGTGCAGCGAACAGATTTGAAAGATTGCTGGACATCACAACATGCATTCCGAACCGAGACTTGTATGTTTTGATTGGCATTCGGGTCCGATCTCATGGCACGTTAGTGAACGACACACGTCTAGTACAGAAGTGTTTGTCAGTCGAGTTCGGATTCCAGCGAGGACCACTGGTGCCCATCGTGTGGCATAACTTTTATCCTCAAGAAGAAAAGGCTCCCTCGCGCTGCTCTAACAAAGGTCGATGAAGTGCCGAAACAACTGTGGGGAAGATGTGCAGCGGTGAGCCTTCAGACAGGGTATGTGTCCATTGGATTCATATGATCATACTACCTGCCGTGTCAGACATCACGCGCACACAAGCCAGCGCGTGGTGCAGGGCGCACACACACACACCGCTGGACCACCGACCCATTCAGTTGTCAGTGCACATCCAGGTTACAGCGCGGCCACTACCAGACAGAGCTCAACGGCCAAGCCGCGAGTCACTTTTCCGCTGTCTGCAGCAAGGGCTTCGACGACAGGAGCTGCTTGATGAGATGGAGCGGCGTACACATGATAAAAATGATGCGTTTAATCAGATCGCGGCGACAGGCGACGTGGACGAGATGAACAGACAACTCGTGGATATAGTCAACACCGCTCTTACCAACACGCTACCAGGTAGTCCGCTTTACACCGAGACCAGCATTGAACATGCCGAACTCCTGAGGCAATTATTGCACATGCGACGCGGATTCAGATACATGCGAGCTTCGCCAGAGCTGGCTTCAGATTTCGATTATGCGAACGACACTATTCAACGGCTGAGCAAGCAGCGGAAGAGACTGGCACGGCAGCATCGGGAGCAGATCATTGCACGCAGAGTCGCGGAGCCCAACGAGGCAGTCAAGGACAGCAACGGCTATCTGGTTCAAAAAATGGCTCGTCCCACCGCGGGTCGGCGAAGAGGACCTCGCCAACGGAGATTCGCAGCCATCGCCACACCCCCAGCCTCAGCACATGGGCGGCCATTACGCATGCAGTTGCCATCACAAAAGGGAGGACGCACAGCGAGGTTCACCACGTGCCAGAAGATCGAAGATGAGATGAAGAACGACGAGGGGAGTTTTCGCGATGGCGACGACGCCTGTATGCTCTCGAGTGAGGGCTGGAAGTCTGTGCAGAGATACGCATGGCGCATGAACTCTTGGAGGGGTTCTCCAAATTGGGGCATCCCAGCTGGGGCCTTGCGCTTGATGCTGTCCCCGAAGTGGATCAACCCC